ATGGCCGTCACGAGCGAAACAATGGCTGTTGCTCATCTCTCTTCATGGTCTCTCTTCCCTCTTTCTCTTCTTCGTCTTCTCTCTCTCTGTCTCTTTCTCTCTCACATCTCCTGATAGTTTTTCTCTATTTTTCAATTTTTACTTCAAAAAATTTGTGTTTGTAATTTTACCTTTATTAAAATTTAGTTAATAATTTGAATGAAAAAATAAATTTAAGAAATTTTATGATTTTAATCAATAAATAATAATTCTATTACAAAATAATTACTATTATGTTCTTAATAATTTATGATACACAACTGAAGAGAAGAGATGAGATGACCTGGTAACCCTAACAATTGATTCGGCCTTCATCATTATCAGAGAGAGAGTGAGATTGAAACTCTTGTGATGTTCCATTCTGATTAGAGGAAGGCAAAATAGTTATTTTGAGGAAAAAAATTCTAATATTTTTTTTTTCTTTGTGATTGGTGCCCCAAATTTCATTTTGGCGTTTTTTTTTATCATACAATTCACGACATACATTGTGCATCGTAAAAAGGAAATACTTTTAATGTCAGGCGATGTGTCCGCCGTAAAAAGTGCAATACTTTTAACGGTGAGCATTGTGTGTGCCGTGAAAAGTATTCACTTTTCACGGCTGGTGTATGTGTATCGTGTATAATTAATGTATTAACGGCACGTCATATGCACGTCGTAGAAAGTTTTATTATTTACGGCATAAATTGCAAGCCGTAAAAAAATCATCGTTATTACCATTCACAGCCTACGCAATAGACACGCCATGGTTGGAAAAGTATTTACGACGTGCAAAAAAAGCAAGTCGTAAAAGTGAGAAACTACGGCGTGCAGTTGTTGTATGTCGTTGATGTGGTACCGTAAAAAGTCAGTTTTGTTGTAGTGGAGGAGTGCAGAGGCGTGAGTCGTGAGAGAGAAGAGACACAGAGGCGTGAGAGAAGAGAAAGGAGGAGATGAGGTCATGTAGGATGAGGTTTGGTGGTCAAATCTGTGTGTGAGAAGAAGAACTAATATATCTAAGGCGCCAATATATTCATTTCCCTCTAAAAACCTTTAGCAACTAAACCATTTATTTGGTGGCAAAATTATTTCTTCACTAAAAGATAAAATTATTAGCCACGAAAATAGTTTTCTCACTAAATAATATGAAAATATTAAAAATTATTGATGACGAAAATATATTCGTCATTAATGATTTTATTATTGGTGACCAATTTTTTCCTCACCAAAAGCCTGAAAATTTTGGCACCACCCGAAAAATTAGCAGGAAAATCTTTAGTGACAAAAAAAATATAAATAATGACGAAAAATAATTTCGTCACTTGATTTTTTTATTATGTATGCAGATTGGTGACGAAATTTTATTTTGGTCTCTAAAAATGGTACATTTGGAGACGAAAAATTATTTTTTTCACTGAAAGGTACGTCTTTCGTGACAAAATTTATTTTCGTCATTAGTTTTCGCCTCCAAAGACACTTTTTGTTGTAGTGTTTAGGAAACAAAGTCTAAGAGCACGTGACAGAAATAGAGAAGCCTAACATCCGCACACAAGAAGACAACAGATACTGATGGCTCGTTCACTCGGAGACATTTCGACGATCAAGTCAATTAACTTATCTCAGAAGATATTAGTACAAATAAACAACTCTCAAGTAAAAGAGCATACCTTAGATTCACGGGAGTACCTACCTTTTGTAATCATCAGTGCCCTCGTTCCCTATAAGTCTCACCTCATAGGACTTCTATCCTTTTTAGGACATCACTTATCAAGGATTCCTTCAATTTGGAATATGATTAACTCTCTCAAGAGTCCTGACCTATCCAAACAGAGAGTCTGTTATCATTTAGGATTCTAGTCCATCATTCAAACATCTCGGATTTAGATGTGGTCTGACCACACCTCAACCAATTAGAATCGCCTACATGGCACCTTGGCTAACTACCTAGGCCATGTAAACAACTCAAAATTATGTCCCTACAGATGGTGTGAGGTATAAGTTTGAGAAAAATATCCAAAATCTCCAATATGCCATTGGTTTGTTTTTATCTTATTACAATAAGTGTGGTCTATATATCTCAAATTTTTGGATACTTTTCTATGAACTTTTTAGGGTGATTTTTGTTTAGGTCTAATTTGTTTCATGCCATACTAGTCTAAAAGGAAATTAGTTTATTTTCCTTTTATTTGAAATTATTATCATTTTTTTTTAAATTGATTGTTTTTAGATTCCTCAAAAATTGGTTTATTTCTCCTATCTAAAAAAAAGGGTTTATTTTTATCTTATTAGAATATTTTCAAATTAGGTAGTTTTTATTCTTATTTTTATTTTTTAAAGGTTCTTGAGAATTAGAGGACCCAATAAAATATATAAAATTTGAAAAAAATTCCTAATAAAATACAAAAAAGACTATTCATTGTATTTGGTTCCTATTTTCTAAACTCCTTTTTTTGAGGTTATTTTGAAAACCGGACAAAGTTTTTTTGAAAACTAACATGTGAGTACTTTTTTTGATGTGACAAATTTTTTTTTTTTTAAATTGTCTCTCTCCTTAAATTGGAGGAATATTTTCAAATTAGGTAGTTTTTATTCTTATTTTTATTTTTTAAAGGTTCTTGAGAATTAGAGGACCCAATAAAATATATAAAATTTGAAAAAAATTCCTAATAAAATACAAAAAAGACTATTCATTGTATTTGGTTCCTATTTTCTAAACTCCTTTTTTTGAAAATTTTAAAGTTTTTGTTTGGTTATTTTGAAAACCGGACAAAGTTTTTTTGAAAACTAACATGTGAGTACTTTTTTTGATGTGACAAATTTTTTTTTTTAAATTGTCTCTCTCCTTAAATTGGAGGGAAAATTGAATTTGCAATAATACATTTTTTTTTTTGAAAACCAAACAAAAATTCTTTTTTTAAATAGAGTTTTCAAATCATTTTTTAAAAAAATAATTCAAAAAAATGGAACCAAAATGATGAATTTTTTCCTAGGTTAAAATAGTCTAAACGAATGACACCATAGTGGTTCACAGCTTCTTTTAAGGTATAAATTTTAGGTATTGAGATGGTATGACAATTACTTCTTAAAAAAAGGTCTAATCACATATGGATAACGTCTTAGATTAAACCTTATAAGAAGTTGAGATTTTAGAAGTCACCCTTAGGTGATTCTTACATAACAGGGTCACTCAACCATATGGCAATAAGTTATAGACTCGCACACAAGTAGGGATTCGAACCCACACTCTTAATAGTAGGTATAGTTCGCTCAAACTTGAAATGTTTATTCTACCAACCATATGTACTGTCGCCTAGGTGACTGACTCTGAAAAAAGTGGAATGTGGAATTTGGAACCTTAGGGCTACTACCCCCTGCACGCGCGTCCTCTTTTAGGTCATGACCAATACTTTTTGTTAGAATAGAAGGAGAGATAATTTAAAATGTCAAGTATTAAGTGATGCGAAGCATTGTTCTTAAACTACCAAATAATCTCCCCGCATCTTCTTCCTCCTTCTTCTTCTTACTATTATTATTATTATTGACTTTGAAAATCGAGTGCATCACATTGATATTGATGATTAAGAAACAAGATAAGACATTATGAGATTAAATTCAATTTATTGATTTTGAAAATCGAGTACATCACATTGATATTGATGATTAAGAAACAAGATAAGACATTATGAGATTAGGGTTGGTTTAGGATGTGTATTGATTTTTTAATTTTTTGAATTTTTTATTATTTTAATTTGGGATTAAAAAGTTTCGTTTGTGATAGATTTTTTTGTTTTTTTTTACTTTTGTGAGAGAAAAAATAAAATAATTATTGTTTGAACGTGACATTTTGTCATATTGGGTTAAATTTTTTATTTTATTTTATTTTATTTTTTGTGTGTGTGTGGGGGGGGGGTTATTTTAGCCAAAAACTCATCGTTTAGCTTATGCCAAATGAGGACTAAATTCAATTAGGGCCATTTGTGAACATCATAAAAAAGTTAAAAAGTCAACTTTTAACTTATTTTTAGTCACATCAATTATCACATAAAAAAATCAAAATAATTAAAAAAAATTAAAAATCGCACTTTTAACTATATTCTCAAAACATATGCCAGTTAAACCTCTTGTTTAGGATTATCATTGAAAAGGTGCAATATCAATTAAATTATGCATAAACATTGAAAGAGTTATATTCCAAATTAATTTTGGGAATCTTCTTAAGAATCCCACATATCTTAAGTTATGTTAATTTAATCAATAGTTACCTAGTTTGACTTCATTTTGTCTTGGTTAGGATTACACTAAACAAAAAAAGACAAGAAAAAATGAGGTGAAGAGAGAAAAATAATGATTGATGGAAGATACAACGTGACACTTTCATGCAATATTTTTCTATTCTGAAATGCTGTGGATCTAGAATTGTGTAACAGACAAAAGATTGATATAGATTCAAGTATAAAATAAATCTAATTATATATTAACATTTTTGAGAAAAATGAGAGTAAAATTTTTGAGATTGTAGTCCGTGTGTTTAGTTTTATTTTTAATTCAGTTTTTAAAAATTAAATTTTTTTATTTTTCGTATTTTTTTAATGAATATTTTTAAAATTTTAAGCAATTGTTTTACTTTTTTTAACACTTTTATTTTTTATTTTTTTAGATGCACCATACTTATATATATTTAAATAGTAAAATATTTGTGAAAAATATTTAAAAAAATTAATAAATACATAAAAATATAAAAAATGTACTGAATTTTCATATATATATATATTTATATTTTTAGCATTTAGTGAATTTTTTAAAGATTTTTTTTACAAATATTATATTTTTTAAGTGTATTTATATTAGGTGTGTTTAAAAATTACAAAAATTGTTTAAAATATAAAATAAAATTCAATTAAAACAAAAAAATATGAAACATAAAAAAATAAATTTTGAAAACTGAAAGCAAAACTATTCGTTTCTATTTAAGGACACGTGGGCAAGAGAAGCAAACTCACTTCACTAAAACAATCATGGCAACAACCCATCATCAACCATTGCTAGACTCTCCCAAGAGAAAGCTCTGTCCCTGCGAAGCTCTCTCTTTGGTTCTCTCTTTAGTTGCCATCATAACCCCAATCACCATACTCACCACCAAGCTCTTCAATCAAACCTCTTCTTCTTCTTCTAACCCTTTTTCTCTCTCAGCCACCCTTTGCCACCGTGCTCTTGACCAGTCCTCATGCTCCGCCATGGTATCAGAACTTGCTCCACCTGAAATATTGATGCAAATGAACGGCGTCGATTTATTGCAGGCCTTCTTGAAGAAGTCTGAATCAGGCATACGAAAAACTATGAAGACGGTGAGCAATATTAACCGTCAGATCAACGACAAGAGAGAGCAAGCGGCCATAGTAGATTGTATGGAGTTGATGGAGGTGTCTTTGGGTCGGGTTATGGACTCTGTGGTGGCAATTGGGAAAAGGACAGCCGGGTCACATTCGGATGCCCATTCATGGCTCAGTGGTGTTCTCACCAACCATGTTACGTGTCTAGACGGGTTAACCGGGTCGACCCGGTCCATGATGGAGACTGAGCTCAATGACATGGTGGCAAGAGCAAGAGCTTCCCTAGCTATGGTGGTTGCAGTATCGCCACTGGAACATGATGAGGTCAGTAGTAGGCTACTTAGTTGGTTCTTTTTATTTAGGTATTTAGGGCAAATTACATATACACCCCTCCAGGTTTGACAAAATTACAGATACCCCCTGAGGTTTGAGAAATTACGAATTCCCCCCTGAATGTTATATTTGCATAAGAAATTAGGGAGTAATTTGTTATGAAATATAAACCTCAGGGGGTAAATTGTTATGAAAATACAAACCTCAGGGGGTGGGATGTAATTTCCGAAACCTCAGGGGGGTATCTGTAATTTAACCAAACCTGGAGGGGTGTATATGTAATTTGCCCTATTATTTACTATTTATTTATTTATTTATTATTATTACTAGTTTTTAGAATATGGGATTAATTTCTTTCCAATCCAGTCTGACAGTGGACTCAGGTTTCACACTGGTATTATTTTGATTATTTAAATTGGTTTGCAAAGTTTTATGGGTAAATTATTTTTGAAAAAAAAAATAATAATAAATTGTGGTTTCACACTGGTATTACTTTGATTATTTAAATTGGTTTGTAAAGTTTTATGGATAAATTATTTGTGAAAAAAATAATAATAATAAATTGATGAGATTGCCAAGTTAAAGTAGGTTTGTAAACTTCTAAATTTATTTAATTTTTTTTAGTTTCTATATTTGAAAAAATAAAAATCACTCAGAGAAAGATAGCTTTGAAAAAATATTGACTTGGATCTTAAATGTTACCGTAATAACTTTTTTTGTGATGTTGATGTTTCAGAATAATTTCCAGACTAATTTTTTTTAAAAGAAATTTTGTAAATAGAAGAAAAAAATGAAATTGATATATTAAAATATATAAAAATTAGATTCATTGTTTATAAAATATTTTTGACAATACATATAATAGTGGGTTTTTTAAGAAATTTTTTTCCCAAAAATATACTTATTTTTAAATGTCACAGTGTTTAATATAACTTTTGCTCATAAATTTGAGACACAATAATTATTAAAAATCAGGAAAAATGTACTTTTAACTTTTATTTCAGCTTTAGAAGAGTTGCATGAAACAAGTCCAATTAAAAATGATATAATTATTTTTTTGTTTTTCATCTTAGGTCTCAAATTCAAATCAACTTGAGCTATCTCTCGCGATACCGCGGCTTAACGGGGAGTTTCCACGGTGGGTCACTACTAGGGACCGGAAGCTTTTGAAGACATCGCCGAAGGATATCAACGCTGATGTGGTGGTGGCACAAGATGGGAGTGGGAACTATGGGACTGTGAACGAAGCTGTGTCCTCTGTACCAGACAATGGCAACACTCGTTATGTCATCTATGTCAAGCAAGGAACTTATAATGAAAATGTTGTGATTGGGAGTAATAAGAAGAATGTAATGCTTGTTGGTGATGGCATGGATTTAACCATTATCACTGGTAACTTGAATGTGATTGATGGATCTACAACTTTCGATTCTGCAACTGTTGGTAATCATTTTACTCTTTAGATTTCAGTCTCTTGTGATTTTCCTACACTAATCTTACTCATTCTATTTGGTTTTGAATTTTCAAATATAATTTTTAATTTTTCTTATTTTTTGTGTGTAATTATTTATTTATTTTAATATTTTAATTATTATCTTTTAATTTTTAGGGGCACTTAACCTGAAAAGTAAAATATTTGTAAAAAACTTTTTAAAAATTCACTAAATACTAAAAAATAAAATAAAAACACTCAATAACTGTTGTACTTTATTTTTGTATTTATTATTATCATCTTAAAATAGTTTTTTTAATCTTTTAGTTGGATTTAGATTAGGTCCATCTAAAAAGAAAATACTAACAGGAAAAAAAGAAAGAATGAATGGACCTTGTTTTGTGTGTGGCTAATGCTTTTTATGCAAATGTCGATGATGCATGTTTTCAATACCTCAATGAACTGGGCCTTATGTCGGCCTGGTGGAAGGCCCATAAATTGTTTTCTGAGGAAGCAGAGCTTCAACTAAAATAACACTTGTACATATTCAACCCAATGTAGCTGCTGTTGGTGATGGATTCATAGCCCAAGACATCTGCATCCAAAACACGGCTGGTGCGGTGAAGGAACAAGCAGTGGCATTACGTGTCGGAGCCGATCAGTCCGTCATAAATCGTTGCCGGATTGATGCCTACCAGGACACTCTCTATGCCCACTCTAACCGGCAATTCTATAGAGACAGCTATATTACTGGCACAATAGACTTCATTTTTGGCAATGCTGCGGTTGTGTTACAAAACTGCAACATAGTGGACACACTCACCCTCTTCTATATATAGGAATCATGAATCATTGTAATAGATATCAATATAAATCAATCAATAATACAATTCTCTATTTCTCTTTATACATTAAATTTCTACACTCTCTATGCCCACTCTAACCGGCAATTCTATAGAGACAGCTATATTACTGGCACACTATGTTACATGGACTCGGGTATGGGTGTCGGGTGCGGGTATGTATCTAGAAGTCGGACTCATCAAATCATAAATTTAAGGATACACGGACTCGGCAAAAAAATGTCATATTTTTATATTTTTAATCTAATATGTGAGATAAAATGATACTATATTTAACTTATAGTGTCAAAATGACATTTATAGCAATTATACAACAATATGTACATATAATAATAGTGTTATATACAATTATATAAGAAGTATCCGTTGAAAAGTATCCGACACATATCACATACCCTTGTCCGAGTGTCGGGTGTCCGACACGGGTATTTGATTTATTTTGAAGAGTCCATGTAACATAGCTGGCACAATAGACTTCATTTTTGGCAATGCTGCGGTTGTGTTACAAAACTGCAACATAGTGGCCCGATTGCCCATGAGTGGACAGTTTAATGCCGTGACGGCCCAAGGCAAAAATGACCCAAATCAAAACACTGGAACTTCAATCCAAACTTGTAATGTGACAGCTAGCTTGGACCTTGAGCCCGTTAAAGGCACTGTAAAATCATATTTGGGCCGCCCATGGAAGGCCTACTCGACAACTATTTTCATGCAATCATACATAGAGGACCATATTGACCCTGCAGGTTGGGCAGAGTGGGATGGTGATTTGAATTTGAACACATTATACTATGGTGAGTACATGAACTATGGTTCGGGTGCAGGCATCACTATGCGCGTCGCGTGGCTAGGGTATCATGTCATCACTGATCCGGCCGAAGCGAGCAAGTTTACTGTGGCTCAGTTGATACAAGGAGGGGAATGGTTGGATTCCACTGGGGTAACCTATACTGAAGGCTTGTGAATGAGGCTTTTCCATTTTCTTTTGTTAACTTGTCCTTTATCTTCTTGACTACTATATGGTTCTCCATTGTAGGAGACACTCTAGTATCGTGGGTTACCTTGGAATAATTTGTATGATCAATTTAACAGCCTGCTATGGTTACATGGTGGCTATAAAATTGGCACAATCCAATCTTGAGTTGAAGGGTTATTTTGTAGGGCAAGTATAATTGTATCGTTATTTTGATGTGTCAAGCAATACGAATAGTTTACACGAATAGTTTACGCTTTCAAAATTAAACTACATAAAAATATAAATTTTTTAGAATCATATCAGATGAGAAAAAGACTTACAAGAATGCCATAAAATTATTTACACCTTTATCCTCAAAATTTTCAAAATCTATGATCTAGATGTTAATTATCTCATTAAACCAACTAGTTCTAGTTGACTCTAATGTCTAAAAAATTCTAAATGAATGTTATATAAAAATTTACCCCAAACTTTTCCTTCCTTTGTTCACAAGAGGACACTTATTTATTTGTACAAGTGGAAGGTGAAAAAAACATAACCATTAAAAAAATGTCCATTGAAAAAATATAGTCGTCCAAAAAATATGGCCGCCAGTTGTTTTTAAGAAATATAGGTTACCTTGGAATAATTTGTATGATCAATTTAACAGCCTGCTATGGTTACATGGTGGCTATGAAATTAGTGCAATCCAAAATTGAATTGAAGGGTTATTTTGTAGGTCAAGTATAATTGTATTATTATATTTTGATGTATCACGCAACATGAATAGTTTATGTATTCAAAATTAAACCACATAAAAATATAAAAAATATAAATTTTTTAGGACCACATCAGATGAGAAAAAATCTTACAAAAATGCCATAAAATTATTTATACCTTTATCCTCAAAATTTTCAAATCCATGTTCTAGATTTTAATTATGTCATTAAACCAACTAGTTGACTCTAATGCCTAAAAAATTCTAAATTAATTGTATATAAAAATTTACCTCAGACTTTTCCTTCCTTTGTTCACGAGGGGACATTTATTTGTACAAGTGGAAAGGTAGAAAAAAAATATAACCATTAGAAAAATGTCCATTGAAAAAATATAGTCGTTGGAAAAAAGTAAACGACATAATAATTTAAAGGGAGATGGTTAAATTTGAGAATCTTGTTGTGAAGTATATATTGAAAAAATATGGTTGACTAATTTATTTTTATTTTTTTTTAAAACATTGAGATTTTGAGTAATTTTTTTTTTAAAAAAAAAACATTGAGATTTTGAGTAATATTGCTGGGAATGCTTTTAAACCACAGAAAATAATATTCATCCAAAAATTATAAACATAATTTGTCACTAATAATGTGGAGGTAATATTTCTATAATTAAATATTATTTTAATAAGTACTTTATCTTAAAATGACAAGTTTAAGTATAATCACATCATTATGTATATAAAATTTATATAATATATATTTTTATATTTTATTTTTTTATATATCATTACTGTAAAAATTATATAATATATATATTTTATTTTTTACTTTTTTTTTATATGTCATTACTTTTTGCCTTGGACTACTCACCTCCCCCCATTTGCAACTGCCCTACAACATGCTACAATTTGTGCATGAATAAACTATCTGAAAACCTCAAGAAGACTTCAAAAGGTGGGATGATGGATTTCTCAGTAAATTTCATAAGAAAATGATATATACGTCGTGTGAACATTCAAAATTATGTGACAAAATTCAAATTGAGTGTGTTGTGTGTTTTATATAATAAAATAGATTTCAATTTAAAAAAATAAATATAATAAAATAGATATTAGGTAAACTAACAAGAAGACTTCAAAAGGTGGTATGATGGATTATATATGGAGATCTAGTTAATACTTGAAAACTTAAGAAAATAATGTAAAAAAATGATTTGCAAGATTCATTTGATTTTTTTCTCATGAAATAATGATTATTGCTTTTGAATTAATTTTATTTTTCATTCTTGTAGTTTGATTCAAATTTCACTTTGGTTCCTATAGTTTTAGTTTGAATAATTTAACCCCTACACTTTAAGTCTATTTTTAATTTGATCTTTTTGTCTAAATTTTAGTTAATTTTTCCTACATGTACACCTTAGGAGGCTGACAAATGTCTAAAAATCGTTAATTTGAACCTCTAACTTGAACAGAAAGTCTAAACTGAAATTAGAATTAAACAATAGGAACCAAACTGCTAAAATTGAAACAAATTAAAGCTAAAGTGAACTTAGTTCTTCTATAGGGGTGTAGTTATGGTCGGGCCCATCCGGCCCTAGGCTCGGCCTGGCCCAAGTGGGCCTCGCGGACTCCCGCTTTTTTGGCGGGCCGGCCCATGAGCTAAAAAGTGGGGCCCAAGCCTAAGCCCAGGTCCAGGCCCACTCAGAATAGGGATTAGAGCTGAGCCCACGGGCCTGGGCTCCAGTCTAGGGCTTGGCCCGCGAGTCTGGACTCGAGCTCTGAGCCCACGGGCCTGGGCTCCAGTCTAGGGCTTGGCCCGCGAGTCTGGACTCGAGCTGCAGGCCAGGCTTGGGAGGTTTTTTTTTGTTTTGTTTTGTTTTGTTTTGTTTTGTTTTTTCCGTTTCGAAAAATGAACGATAAATAAATTATCTATGTAGATTATTTATCAAGGATAAAAAAATAAAAGAAAAATTGTACTAGAGTATTTTAGTTAAGATTAATGAGATGTTTGGTTATATTTCATGTATGGTGGTATTTAAATTTAATTATGTATGACTTATGTTTTTTTAATTATGAACTTATAACTAAAAAGGTAGCAATTATGTAATTTTTTCATTTTGAAATGAATAATTTTATATATATGAAAATTAAACTTTCAATATTACAATTATTAAATTAATTATATAACATTTATTGAATGAATAATTTTTATTTCAAGGGGCAGGGGTAGTGCAGCAGGTAGGGGCAGGCATTAGTTCTGCCTCCCTTTTGTTTTGTTTTGTTTTGTTTTGTTTTGTTTTTCTTTTTTGGCCATTGTTGCAAGTAGGGCTGCAAATTAACAGAGCCATTCATGAACAAGCTCGAGCTTGGCTCGGTAAGAGCTCATTTGAACTTGGTTCGTTAAATTTTTTTTTTGCGTAAGCCCAAACATTTTGAAATTTGGCTCGTTAGCTGGCTCGTTTAATTTTTTATTATTTATATATTAAATAATATAAAAATAAGATAAATATATTATTTATATATTTAAAATATATATATATGTAACTAATAGTTAACTATAGATAGTACGTTTATATAATAATGATTGTAGACATTATTATTTTGGTAAAATATTAATCTTTTTTTTTAGAATGTTTATATATATTGTATAATCAAAATTTTAATTGTAACTTTACTCTCATACGCATGTATGAATTTATAAATTTTTTGGTTCGTTAAAGCACATGAACAGGGCTCAAACTCGAGTCAAGCCTAAGCTAACTTGGCTCGAGCTCGGTTTGTTAATTTTTATTGACCTTGAGCTCGAGCTCGAGTTCATTAAAATCTTAATAAACAAGTCCAAACACATTAAAGCTTGGCTCGGCTCGTTTGCAGCCCTAGTTGCAAGCCTTTATTTTATTTTTTTTATCATTATTTAACCGTTACAACTTACAAGCATTTTATTAGTTTTTATTTTTTATTTTTTGAAATTTGACCGTTGGCAGGCAGAACCAGAGAGGGAGTGCCAAAAAAAATTTGGGCTGGGCCAGGCGAGGCTTCAAATGAAAGGCCCAGGCCTAGGCCTAAGGTCTTGGGTCGGGCTCAGGCCCGGGCCTAACTGGGCCCACCTCGAGCCGTGGGCTGGTTTCGGGCCGCCCACGGGTCTCGGACCATTTTTACACCCCTAGTCTTGTAGATCAAAACTTCTAATTTATCCCCTACAAACATATATATATATATTGGATAAATTATGTTAGTAGTCCTTGTATTTTTATTCTTGTGTCATTTTAGTTCTTATAATTTCAATTTGTTAGATTTTGACTTTAAATTTATGAATTTGTATCAATTTAATTTAATTGATTACAATTGTTAGAATTTTTTAATGAAAAATACACACATAAATGACATATGTCATGCTTTAGGGACAGTTATAAATTTACTTAACTCAATGAGTTAAGCAAGTCAACCAAGCGTGCAACAAGGGTTATACCCTTGGTCGGATGGCTGAGCTGAAGGAGCTATCAATTCCTGACGACTCGCCTCTTCGTGATTCAAGCCAACTTGTCTTTCCATTTCCTCCCACTCCAAGCTAATTTCATGAAGAGGCTGGGGGGAAAGAAGAAGAAATCGAGGCTGAAGTTAATGCTGAGGGATCTATTGGGGCCAAGTTCCTAACTCTGAATGAGCAAGTCCTGGACTTGACTCAAGATGATAAGGACGAGGTCTCCAAGAGTGCCTCCCCAAAGAAGACATTTGCTGAGGCCGATGTCCAAGCTGCCGAGAAGAGCTTGGACCAGACTCTTTCTTAAATAGACGCCGAGATAATGGCGAAAAAGGAAACAACTCTGCCAATCGAGGCTGCCAATAATCCAACAGCTGAGGTTGAGCCATCTGAGACTGATGCCCATAATTCCAGCACTTAGGAATTTTTTTACATTGATATTTCCTTTTGAACAATTTGTAATTTTTTTTGTAACTTTTGGACAAGTAGTCATTTTTCCCAAGCCGAAGTGCATTTTGTTTCTGAACAAGTTTTTCTTGAATGAATGCTTATTGCTTCTTTTTGGCTAAGTGTTGAATGCTTCTTTCTTTAAGCTTTCCTTTCATGCCTTGCATACTTCTATACTTAAAATATTTTTGCAAATCATCAAAAATATACCTTAACTGTATAATAACTTCAGGATAAAATACCTCGGATATAAACCTTGATTGTTTGTCTCAGCCAATAAGTGAAATACCTCGGCTAACAAAATGTTTCGAAATGTTTTTACAAGTGCTGTTTCTCAAATTTATTCAGTCAAGTATTGCTTATTTACTTCCTTTTGTGTCTTCTATCAAGACTTCACCTTTCTAACCTTTCCAAGTTTGACAGCTTGGTTGGTCATCTCGGGTAATATGTACCTTGGATACATCTTTCATCATTTCCTCAGCTAACTTCAACTTGTAAATTGTTTTGAAATTTCAACAAGTGTCAAGCTGTCACGACCCAAACCCGCCCCTCTGGGTTTAGTACCGTAACTGGCCAGTAATC